AAAGCCCTATGAAGCGGTATATAAGTCTAACTGCTATTGCTATTGCTATTGCTATTTATAGTAAGAGATTTCCGTTGCTTGACAGCTCAACTTCTTTCTGGTCAGGCTTGCTTTGAACTTCTCCTGATTCAGGTCTCATATTGAAGTTAATTCTTGCCAGCTAGGATGGATATGATTGCAAGTCAACTTAGTGCCAATCTTACCGTTTCCTTTTGTAATTTAGGCATTCAGTACATTCTCATGAGAATTCACATAGCACCCTTGGACAAACATGAATCACAGTCCACTTCTGCTGTTCCCATTTCTCCAACACAATAGCAAGAGCCCTTAGACTTATATACCGCTTCTCAGTGCTTTACAGCCCTCTCTAAGCAGTTTACAGTGTCAGCCTGTTGTCCCCAACAACAATCTGGGTCCTCATTTTACCGACCTCGGAAGGAGGGAAGGCTGAGAAAACCTTGAGCGGTCAGAATCAAACTGTCGAACTGCTGGCAGCTGGCAGTCAGCAGAATTAGCCTGCAATATTGCATTCTAACCACTGCGCCACCACAGTTCAATCATCAATATACTGTCCAGTATGCTTATTTTTTCAGGCATTTCAAGTGGTCTTCTTGATTCCAAGCATGCTCAAAACCTTGCCACATTAATGTTTAGAAATAAGGACCGCACGGTCTGAAAATAAATACAAATGACCACTTAGCCCAGAGTGCACATAACTACAACTGACAGAATGATGGCAAGAATGATAATTGGTTTTAAAAATGGCTGGGAAGTGAACTTCAATGACCTCAGTGGCTGCAGTAGACTCTTCAAAGTGTCTTTTGCATACAGAGATCTCTGCAGGTGGCAGGGTGAGGCTGGTCTACTACTTCATTGCTGGGCATCTTACATGAATATGCAAATAGCAGAGCAATGTTACACAGATGTTTCTATGAGTCTGGAAAAGAGCATGGATGCACACAAGCATCCATGGTTACATGATGGATATTTTGCTCATTGGTTCGTGTATTTTAAATCTATAAAGTCTGCTGCCCTCCAGATGTTCTAAACGCTATCATTTCTACATCTTTTACAATTAGCCACATTGGCTATGGCTAATAGGATTTGACGTCTGAATTATCTGAATCAAATTGCTTACCTTGACAGACGAGAAAACATAAATCTACATGTTCGGTGCTGATAGGCTGACCGATATCTGCATGCTTTTCCCCCTTCATTCTGTTACTAACATCTAAGAAGAGTGATACTGGAAGAAGAAAATTCTGTTTGGGAGCCTACTTTGTCTGACTTCCAATCCTTCTGCAGATTTGTTTTAGTGAGGAAAAAGTTTATGTATGCTCAGAGACTTCCTCTTCAAGATTAAACAATTTAAGGGACATAAATGTAGTACTAAGATCTACTTAATTTTAGACATTTATCTGGTTTGTTCCCCCTTCTATGCATGGCAATATTTCTCTTTGATTTGCTTATATATCTATTGCCTCTTTATCTCTCCTCATACCATCTCTGTCAGTATTGGCAAAGATCTTTCCTTCCACCTCCAAGTAACTGAATGCTTTAGAAATTGGGTAAAGCTAAACCTTGGCCACCAGCAATGAAGAAAATCGCCCAGACTTGTTTCTCAGCAGCTTTTCCAAGGTATCAACAGAAACACCTGCCTGTAGTTTCACTTTGTGCATTCCCTGCCACTCAAACCTCTTCTTGAGAGGACACTTTATGTTCTGTTGAGTGCATCCTTTTTCTCTGACACTTGTCCCAAAAACACTGGAAGGGGGTTGCGCACCCAGTCGCAGCTGCCCTTCCTGTTCTTCCTGGTCGGGTGAAAGTAGCACAAAGAACTGACTGTTGTGCGTGGGAGAGCTGAAGGGTTGAGTGAGTTGTGCTTGCAGAGCAGCTGATGGGACATGAGGAGAAGGACCCCATTGCTGTGTTTCTCTTTAGCATTCCTGCCATCGCACTGAGCCCACAATCAAGTATTTGGTCCTGAATTTCCTGTCTGCCAAGGGGGCTGAAAACGAGGATCTCGTAAAGATGTTATTTCACCCTGTGTGGAGATCAAGAGGGAATGGCCTGTCTCGTTGGGTGGGTGTTGATGGGAACGTAGTGTCCCAACTCTGAACTGCGAGCCAACATAGTTCAAATTAATATTGTGTTTTACGGTGATTGGGATCTTGCTGTGTGAGAGCTGACATACACTATTTGCTGAAGCTTCTTCTACCTGCAGTGTGGGAACAGCCACAGATGCCTCACACAGCTGTTGTAGGAACTGTAGAATTATACTTAACTATTTATTATTAATCTTTTTCTTCCTTCCTTTTTTTTCCTTTTAGAGGCTGTGGCAAATAGCCAAGAATGGACTCTTAGCCGCTCTATCCCTGAGCTACGCTTGGTAAGTTTGTTCCCCTTTGTTCCTAGGTTTTATCTGACTCATGGGGCCACATGTTTATTCCTTAAACTGCAGCTCTTCAGGACAAAAATCTATCCTCTGAGGCTTTTGTAAATGACCAGTCAACTTGATGGAGTTAATTCAGAGATAGGACTACGTGACTCTTTTAGAAGTTGACCTACAACTTCCAGAAGACCTAGCCAACAAGAGCAGTAGTTTAAAGTTTAATAACATTTGTATGCCGCCCAATCCCGTAGGACTCTGGGTGGCTTACAATACAACGTAAATCAAAAAAAGTGAGGACTCCTGGGAGTTGTATTTCAACAAGCATCTAGTGAGCTACAGATTCTCCAAACATGGCTAAGGAAGTGATACATCTCTCGATCATCTATCCAAATCTGTCTCTAACTATCCTCTATTTTTATCTATCATCTATCTGTCTACCATGCATATTCTCTAATGTTACATAAATGCTGTCCTAATACTGATGTTAATACAAGTTGTCCTCAGCTTATACCATTCGTTTAGTGACTGTTCAAAGTTATATATAGCAGCACTGAAAAAAGTGACCTTTGGCTATTTTTCACCTGACTTGCAGCATCCCCATGGTCACATGATGAAAATTTGGATGCTTGGCATGTATTTAGGATGGTTGCAATATCCCAGGGTCGTGTGATCACCTTTTGTGAACTTCTGACAAGCAAAGTTAATGGGGAAGCCAGATTCACTTAACAACCATATTACTAACTTAACAACTGCAGTGATTCACTTAACAACTGTGACAAGGAAGGTCGTAAAATAACTCACTTAATTAACTGTCTTGCTTAGCAATGGAAAATTTGAGCTCAATTGTGGTCGTAAATTGAGGACTACCTATAATTAAGTCTGAAGTAATTGATACATAATAGTACTTTTGGAGCTGGTTTGACCTCAGAAAAGAGTGATGGAGTGGGTGGGCAGATGAGTAGCAAGCATTGCTTCATCGTTAAACCTTTCTGTTCCCTGGTCTGCTGCTTATTAAAAAGCAAAGGATTGAAGAATAAGATCTTTGCAGATTGGATTACAAATTGATTCAATCCTAGATTCATGGAGGATTGAAACATAGACGTCCAACAGTTTTCCACAAATATCCTTGGCTCCCACAGCTTATTAAAATATGCTTTACAATGCATGTGGTAATGGAAATACTGTGAATATCAATAACAAATAACAGCCAGTTTGATCTAGTGGTTTAGGCACCAAGATAGAAACCAGGAAACTTTTGAGTTTTAATCCTGCCTTAACGTAAATGCTGGCTGGGTGAGTTTGTGCCAATCACTCTGTCTGCACTCACCTCAGCTCAAAAGGTTGTTGTTGTGAGGAAAATAGGAAGAGGAAGGCGTATTAGATATGTTCACCACCTTGAGTTATTTATAAAAATAATAAAGGCAGAATTAAAAATATCTAATGTAACAACAATACTGACCAGAATTTTTTTAAAAAATGTGTCTCTTCTTCAGGGGATCCTATCAAGGGGAGTTATCACTCTTGAGAACCACAGACTTAGTGATGAACCATTATTTGAGAGTGAAGAGTAAAGTACCTGGGTAGTGAGGACAACAGATCCTAAAGCATCTTGCTTTCGCCTCACACCACCCATTGGAATGACAGACCACAGCTCCTGTCGCTCCCAGCCGGCATATGGCTTTGAGGCCCTTCCCATGTTGGCTAGCAATTGGATAGAAGTTGTTCTCCAATGACTCAATGGAGAGCATCAAAGTTGAGGGGGGGAAATGCTGCCTTAACTGCTCCAGAAAGCCAAGGATGATGAGTTTCACCTGAAATGACTTGTGCTCTTTGACCTCCACAGGGCGTCCTTGGGACCATCAAGAGTGGCAAATCAGCCCTGGTTCACCGCTACTTGACTGGATCCTACTTGGGCCTTGAACCTGCAGAAGGTGAGCTGCCTCCCTCCCCAAACTGAAGCATCATCTCTGTGGCCATGCCTTCATTCGGCCCTTTGGGGCTTTTCATTTCCTCACAAAGCTGAAACACTGGAAAGCCCAAAGGGGACAGAAGGGGTGTGTGAATGGAGAAAAATGATTTATTTAGATATGTAATGTGAAAAATTATAGAAAGCCTGCAGGACTTCTGGAATCTTTCCCACTTACTTCATAGCGGTAGGACTCTTAGTCACATTACTAGGAGGGAGGAGGGCTTGGAATAGTTCCATAGAGATAGATGCTCCCAGGGATTTTTTATTTTTTCCCCCTTCACATCTTTTGCCTGATTCTGGCCTGATTTTTAACTTAATCTTTCTTTTGCTGACTTTCCCCTTTTGTTCAGGTTTGGTTCCATTCTGTTCTTTTGGGGAGAGTATTTCTGCTGGCAGGCAAGAAGGAACATAGAGTTCTGAATCTCTTTACATGGTTTCCTCCAAATATTTCATTAGGTTGGAAAGAATAAAAAGGGGGGACAGACAACTTCCTTTTCACCCTCTGCCATAATCGGTTAGAGAGGTTGACTTGGGATAATTTATATCGGCCCACTCTTTCCTGTTTGGGGACCGGGGGGGGCAGAGAGAGTGGGATTGGGGAGGGAGCTATAAACATCTTGCCTTGAACTCTCAAAGGAAAGAGTGATATAAATCAGTGGTGGGATTCAAATAATTTAACAACCGGTTCTCTGCCCTAATGACCAGCTGGGTAGGCGTTCCTCATTGGTCATGTGACCAGGTGGGTGTGGCGCCTATCACTAACGTTGATAGGCACTTCTCCTTAGCTGTTACAATGTAAGACGGTTTAACCAGAGATGTAGTTTCTGTAAGCAGAGCAATAAAGATTAGGCTAGAAACAACACCAGAATGTTTCCTTCCTGCCTTCCTTACAGGATTAGCTCTGAAAAGTGGAAAAAATACAAGGAGATTTCTTCCAACAACCGGTTCTTCGAACTGCTTAGAAAGTTAACAGCCGGTTCTCCCGAATAGGTGCGAACTGGCTGAATCCCACTACTGATATAAATCTAATAAATCGATTCACGCATAAATATTTTGCCTTCTATTTTTCAGGGGGCCAATTCAAGAAAGAGGTCGTGGTGGATGGGCAGAGCCATCTTTTGCTAATTCGAGAGGAAGCTGGGCCACCAGATGCTAAGGTATGACTCCCTCGTAGGTCCAAAGCTTGCAGTAGGCTGAGACCTAGAGCACTTTAGCTATTTGTGAACAATTATAGTTGATCCTGTTTTAAATGACAGGAAGACATGATTTATGGAACAAGTTTGTTTTTCTGTAGCAATGTTTCCCCTCATCCAGGGACCGAGGGACTGTAATTCTGAAGAGAGGAAATAGATTTAGTTTTGAAATGTACAGCGATGTTGGCCAGGCTAAAATGTGCATACTTAGCCCTGGGTCACCCCATGAGCTCTTTCTGAAGCAAATGTGGTCCTTTAGCTGGCTGGTAGTTAACACCATCTTCCCATCTTGTACTGTCACTCACGGTGCCTAAGCTATCACCCCCTGTTTAAGGGGAAGGCTCTTTCCAAGCCAAGTTGTCATGGAGAGACAACAGTTGCATGCAGAAAGGTCCCAGCTACAGAAATAGATTGATATCTATCCTCACGGTTAAAAAGTTATTCCCCCATTCCAGCAGTTATAGTTAAAAAAAAAAACAAATTTGAATACCATGAGAAGTTTTTATAATTTTTTTTATGAAAGGAATTTCAGTTGTACTTATGATACACATTTCACTTGCAAATTTGAATGAAGTACAGGTAGTCCTTGATTTACAACCATTCATTTAGTGACCATTCAAAGTTACAATGGCGGGGGGGGGGGGAATGACTGACGGGTTGTCACATTTACGACCGTTGCAGCATTCCTGTGGTCACGTGGTCAAAATTTGGCCATTTGGCAAAGGCAATGGAGGAAGCCAGATTTGCTTAACGACTATAAATCTGGCCTTAGATTCTGCCTCAGTTTAACTTCCCAATAAGCAACCGAGTCAGGAGATCATTTAAAAGCAGTTCATTGGGGTACCCTGATAAAGTGAGATCTCTCTATGAAAAAGGAGAGAGAACCTTGAGCCCAATCCTACATTCCTCTATATAATTAATACAACAAAGAAAAATGAAAGAGGAAAGTTGGTTGGACAAGATAAGAGTAACCCCCACTTTGCACAATAAATCAACCACAAAGCTTGTTTGAATTTAGATAATCTGATGTCAACTGACACTTAGAAACGCCTTCTTACCAGAAGATAGTATCCAGCCATCCTTCTGTAAATTCAGTTTTCAGTTTAGGAAAGTTAAAGGGTATCTTATCAATCCACACAACCATAGGATAAAAGTTTTCCTACATTCCAATTTTGTAATGAGCCTAAACATAGAAAATAAGTCAAATTAATAGACAAAATAATTGTGTTAGTTAACAAATTACTAAATCCATGTCATGTGCCCCTCAATGATCACTTAACAACTGCAGTGTTTCACTTAATGACTTGTGGCAAAAAAGTGTTGTAAAATGGGTGTGATTCACTTAACAATGGTCTTGCTTAGCAAGATAAATTTTGGACTTAATTTTGTTCGTAAGTCGAGGACTACCTGTATTTACTACCGTAATCTGGAAGTCATAGTGCAGTGCTATGGGCATCACAGAACCTGTCAAGTCTTAGAATGAAGCCACAACCTCCCTGAATTCTTAGATTAGAATTGATTCCAAATAATTACAATGGCTAAACATCTCACCAAATCATTACATCTTCTAGGATAGGTAATGGAACCCGAATCTGAAAAGGTGTCCGTAAAGTGATCACTCACAATTTCTATTCAGGGCCAGTGCTATTCCTAGAGAATGAAGAAGCAACCTTAAGCCATCAGTGCTGGGATATAGCGAGGTCTTAAGAAGATAGCATTCTGTATGCCACACAGTTTGCCTTAACCAGAAACAAATTTCCTGGTACCTTCCAGATGTTTTGGACTACAAGTCTCACAATACTTTGCCATTAACCATAGTGGCTGAGGTTGATAGACATTGGAATCTGAAACATCTGAAGTTGGTTTACTGCTGCCCTAAATTAATTTCTTTGGAGATATCTCCACTCTGCATGCATGGAGATCTCTAGACATATGCAGACTCGTTTGAATTTTCCCTCCTTCAAAAAGAGGAAAAATTGTGGAATGATTTATAGATCTCCACATGTGACCTTTCATGGAAGCCCATCAATTGCTTGCAGAATCCTAGGTTCTGTGAAACACACACTTTGGAAAACTCTGGTCTACATCATAGCTTATCTTCTCTTTGCCAAACAAAGCATTTTGTTGGGATAATCTGGAGGTGTTGAGGGCCATGGGCTGAAGTGTCTGGTGCAGGAGGACATGCACATTCACTCCTCCACCCTACAGATCAGCCCAGTCACTGCCTGCCTGTGTGTTTCAGGCAGCTGTTCTTTTTCTCAGCTTGCTTATGATAGTCTGGGAAAGGCTCAAATTATTGATAGATGGAAGAATCTGGAAATTAGAGCCCACTTGAAATCCTGGCAGTTCTAATGAAAAGGCCACCCCATGTTTAGCTTGCATTGAAAACAAGCTCTTCCTGTTTCAAGAGAAATTCTGTGAACCCCATCAGACTTGATGGGAGCAGCCATGTTCTACCATTCAGTTGTCTGGCTCATTCATGTAAAAAGAAAAGATGGTATAGAAGTGTGTCTGGTTTTCTTTCCAAAGGAGGGTGTGGGTGAGGGGAGCTCATTTATCACCCCAGCTCTTATTCATCAGCCTGGCTAGGAGCACAGTGTCTTGGGCAACTGCATGTAAGGAGGAAAGGAAAAGAAAGGTCTCAAACCTCTTACCACACACACTCCCTTTTGATTTAAAATTGGATATCTCCTCTCCAGCTTATGGATAAACAAGAATGTCAGTATATAACCGTGATGGGGAACGCATGGCACATGTTCCAGAGGTGGCATGCAGAACCCTCTCTGTGGGCACACATGCCGTTGCCAACTGCTCTTCTGATTTAAAAAAACAAGCCATTCTTCAAGCCTTTTTCAGGCTGTTTTGGGGGGTATTTTCAGGCCGTTTTTCAGGCTGTCGAAAAATGGTCGTAAAAACAGCCTGAAAACGGCCCCCAAATGGCCTGAAAACGGGCCAAAAAACAGCCTGAAAATGGCCTAAAAAATGCCCCCAAAACAGGCATGCCAGCTGGTCTTCAGGTTTCCAGCACCCCAGTGCACGCACATACACACACATGGACGTGCTTTCCGGTTTGGGCACTCAGTGCCGAAAAGGTTCACCATCACTGATATATAAATAATCAGTGTGATTTAACTCCATGCCGCACTAATTGTGGGAATCAAGAAATAAAAGTTTCAGAAACAGAAGAAATAGGCAGTTTGCTCCTAGTGGTTAAGGCACTAGGCTAGAAAACAGGAGACTATGAGTTCTAGTCCTGCCTTAGAGTGGGACTAAGGTGACTGGGAGAGTAAGGTAGCTGGGAGACTTTGAGCTAGTCATTCTATCTTAGTTCGATTCACCTGACAGGATTGCTGTTATGGGGAAAATAGGAAGAGGAAGGAGTAGTAGGTATGTTCACTGCCTTGAGTTATTTATAAAATATATAATAAAGGCAGAGTTAAAATAAATAAATGCTTGGCTTGATGTAAAGTTCTCAAATCTTTAATAATCTCTCTGTTTGGGGAGAGTTTGGAGCCAGTCTCATTCTCCCATTCCCAGACCTATTCTGAGTGTGGAATAAAGACAGTCTAAAGGGAACTGCCTGGTACTGATCCTTTCCCCTTGCTTTTCTTTCCCCTTACAGTTCGCCAATTGGGCAGATGCCGTCATCTTTGTCTTCAGTCTCGAGAACGAGGCCAGTTTCCAAGAGCTGACTCAGTTCTACGGGCTCCTCACCAACTACCGTGCTGTTTCCGACATGGCTCTTGCCCTGGTGGGCACTCAGGGTAAGTGGGGGGTGGGTGGGGAGAGGGCGCCTTCAGGAAGTTCACTCTAAGGGCTCCAGAAGATGTTGAAGGGAAGGCAGCATAGCAGAGCCCTAAGGCCTACCGGGAGTTGTTTAAATGAAACAGAGCCAAATCTCTAGGTAGAGAGATTCTGTGGCCTTGGTCTTGCCCTTTATTCATTACTAAGTCAATTGTTCTCCCTTTGGCTCTTCACTGATGGTTTGGGTTCCAAAAAGAGTGGATGGTTTTTCCATCTGTTCAGCACATACCTTTATGGAACAGCTACGGACTTCTGATCTGCGTGAAGAGCAGTGAAAATGGATCCCAGACACTACCTGGAATTAATGCAAATTATTTATATAAATAAATATACATAATAAGATATACATTACAATTAAATACTATATGTATGTCGGTATGTATATGTTCACACACACACACTATATATATATATATATATATATATATATATATATATATATATATATATA